TTAGTGACTTCATCTTCCTTCTCAGTCTTTGATGAATTTGAAGTTGAGTCCGCCTAGAAAGCTCTTTAAAACTTTTTTTCTCTTCTTTACAATTAGTTTCTCCTCAACCTTCTCCTTGCTAGGAGTGGCTTTGAGTTTTGCGCAATCAGTCTTGATATGACCAAGTTTCCTGCACTCATAGCAAATCGCTTCATTTGAAACTTTGGTATTTCTATTAAATTTATCTCTATTCTAATGCCGGCGTCTCTTCTGCTTCCTTTTTAGAAAGCTTTTGAATTGTCTAGTCATCAATGCGATGTTGTCTTCATCCTCAGGTTATGAGTGTTCACTCTCAAACTCTTCCATATTTAGTGCTATGTTCTTCTCCCTTCGTGGTTCACCTGCATCAATCTTTCTTTGGCTAACTCCTTGCTCGCAAGCAATTAGCGAACCAAGAAGATTGTCAATATAGTAAATATTTAGATCTTTAGACTCTGTAATTGCAGTAATTTTAGCATTATAAGCAGTAGGCAAACAACGAAAAATTTTGTTAATCATTTTAGCATTCGTTAGTTCCCTACCTAGTGCATGTAAATAGGTGACTATTTGTGTGAATCTTGTGTATATATCAGTAATAGATTCATTTATTTTCATATGAAATGGTTCATAATCATGCAACAAGATATTAAGTATAGATTACTTAACCTCATTAGTCCCCTCATAAGTTATACAAAGTATATTCCATATGTCCTTCCCACTTTTGCAAGTGGAAACATGCATGTAGTCTACTGATTTTAAAGCACAAAAGAAACTATTCAAGCATTTAGCATTTAGTTATGCTAAGTCACGTTCTTCTACTATCCAATCCGCAAAAGAGGTTTCAACTCTAACTCCATCAACTAATCTAGTTGGTTTTGTATACCCTTCATGAACTAAGTTTCAAATACGATAATCAAGTGACTGTAAAAATGTAAACATGCGTGTTTTTCAAAAATCAAATGGTATATTGTCGAACAGTGGAGGTCTAGTTATAGAGTAACCCTCGGGTGTATTTCATTTTCCAAATGAAGCCATCTACGTTAATAAAAAAGTAGTCTAAACTTATGATTTTGAAACAAAGCTCTGATACCACTTGTTGAAACTCGTTCACTAAGAATTAGGTTGTTAAACCTAATCTTATGTCCCACAGCTAACCAAGAGGGGGGGTGAATTGGTAATTAAAAAAAATTTTACCCTCTTAAAATTTGGAAATGAAAACTAACTTTAGTGAGTTTTATAGAAATAGATTTTTCAACCACAAGTTGTAAACGTTAAAATAAAAACAGTGGAAAAATAAAGAACACCAAATTTATAGTGGTTCGGTCAAAACCAAACATACATCCACTCCCTGGAGGCACCCTCCGAGTATTGCACTAATACCAATAGTGATTTTCCTTTTGCACCCACAGCAAGGCGGAGAAGCCTTTACAAAAACTCTTTTCACCACTACCCAGTGCGGTAGAGAACCGTCGTCCTTTTACACTGTTCCCAGTGTTGGTAGAGAACCGTCCTTCCTTTCACACTCTCCTAGTGTGGCTAGAGAACCCTTCGGCTATTCACACTCTCCTAGTGTGGGTAGAGAACCCTTCGGTTATTCACACTCTCCAAGTGTCGGTAGAGAACTGGTTCTCCTTGATAGATCTTCTCACAATAAATCTAGAAGGAAGAAAGAAAGAGTGAAGTAATTTCAAATCAAAAGTATAGACTCTTACCTTTAATCACCAAGTGAAGCCTCCTCGCTCCAGTAGTAAGAATCTTCTTTGGAATGCTCTCTCACACTCTCTCCTTGACTCTTCTTTCAATAGGCACAAAGATCAATGGGCAAAAAGATTATGTGGCAGTTTAGTTTGGACTATTTATAGGAAAGACACAACAAACCGTCCAAAAACTGTAAATTTTCAAGTCAATACGTATTGGATTGTCCCGTACAATCGTGGATCGTCTTGGACTATTTTACTTAAATGCATTGGAACGAACCTAATGTATATGGGCACAAAATGATTTCGTACACACCTCATCCCGTACGAACTAGGTTCGTCCGGTATGAACGGTTATTCCATAGGTCGGTTCCCAAAAACTGTAGAACGACACTTAATTTTTAGAGTTGGTTCACTTCGTCCTGGTATGAAGTTAAGGTTCATCCGGACGAAAGTTTTACAGAGAGTAAATTGTCCCGGGATTAATACACTTCGTCATGGACGATAACAATCCAGAGAGCAACTCGTCCTGGAACGAATACACTTCGTTTTTGAACGAAAATTTTTTAGAGAACATTTCGTCCTGAGACGAATACACTTCGTTCTGGACAATTAGGACTTAGAAAAATTTCCTTTGACTCTTGCTTGTTCTATTGCTCTTATGAGGAGATAACTAACTTGATCGTCCCGTACGAACTATGTTCGTCTCGTACGAGCTATGTTCGTCCCGTACGATCTGTACAAATTTCTCAAGATCTCCTTAAGTGTGTGTGTGTGTATTCACTCAATTACAATTACTCCCTTTCAAAACTTAATTAAAAAAAAATTCAAGTTTTAAATCCAAAAGTATCTCATGCTGAATTTGATTTGAAATCTTTGTAGTCTAGAGTTTGATTTTCCTGAAATGTTAGTACACACAAGAGCAAAAATAAGTTTTTCAAAAAGTGTTAGGAGATAACTATACATAAAATAATAATATTTGAAATTATCAAAACTATAAAAGTTGCAAGAATGTAAAACATGCAAATAGCAACTCTCTTAACAATCTCAGTAAATTTTAAAGTACTTTTTAAGATCTCTTTTAGAGTTAAATATAAGAGAGACTAGAGAAATACTAAATACAATTATTAGAGTATTTAGGTAGTGTATATTATAGTAACTCCATACATTAAGGAAGAAGTGTAGAAGTGACACATTGATCCTTCCTAGTGTTATCATTCTTATGTATTTTTGCTCTTCTATATTTTCAATAAAAATGAGTTTGCTTATATTTTCTTCCATGTTTGTCTAATTCTCTAGTTTTGAATTGATGAAGTAGAAAATATATTAAGTATTAATGAAGTTTTTATGCTCTAATAATAAAATTATGTCTTCAATAACATCCAGTTTTTAATTTAATGCACATAGTAGCCATATGTATAGTTAAAATATAGTGTGAGGTAAAACCTCAACGGAGGAATGCAAAAATAACCAGGAATATTAAAATAGTATGTTTGCATACCTATACATAAGATGTAAAATATGCTAGGTTCTTAAGGAGATGATATAAATGTAGGAGGTCAATAGATATCCTTTTCACCACTGCAAGCTTGACGGAGATCTAGAGATCCATATGCTCTGAATCACATTTAAAATAATAATTTAATTAGGCTATATGCAATTTTTATTAGGAAAGATATGCAATTTCCATACTTTTTGTGGGTTCGACAAACTACTCTATCACTTTATTACTTTATTAAGTACGTATGCTTGCGTATATTAAGTAGAGTTTGTTAATTTTATATAGCAAAGAAAGCCTAAGCAATATTAGGGGAGAAAGAGCCTTAAAAATTTTAATAATTCAAAACTACACTCCATAGGCTCAATCAAGAGTTTAAGCATACATTCTAATAATAAAACTTGATCTCACTTTATTAGGGCCATACCCTTATCTTAAATAGGTCAATATAATAAAGGTTGAGAAAACAACCTAAAACCTATAATTGCTTTCAATATACATAAATAATATAATATGTATGATGTCAATTTGTTTATCATGAAAACTAAACATGTGTTGAATAAGTAATTCTCTACTCTACTTAAGTACTTGTATCATATCTAGTGTAATTATGACCATTATTATCATTTTAAAATTCTATGTCATGTTGGACATCATATAATAGTCATCCGAAAAAGATAGCTCATTTATTTTTTTAGTATGATTTTTCAATTGAAATTATTTCTACCGTCCTCCCTAGGATCACAAATATATGTTAAAGGCCAAATCTCTTATATATCTTTTACCACTGTTGATTCTGTCTATGCTCATCCTGTTCAAAAGCAATTTATTTTATGGCAATCAGTTGCTTACTTTATTACATTTGGAGGGAAAAAATGCGAGAAGGTATAGGCATATTCTTGAAAGCTCATCTACAATTTTCTTGGAAATTAAAGTTGTCATTTGTGCTAAATTTTTTCGGAGGATCAAAGAGTAGGTGTTACACCTCATAATGAGGAAAAATTATTATGTCCGGACAAATTACCGAAAATTCAAACAAATATCGAGTAATACCGAGTGCTGTATCGAGCACGGTACCGAGCGCCTAGGTGACGTGGCGCTTTGTTATTGGTCCCTGGACGTGTTCGGTGTCCGGACACAATAATTACTCCATAATGAGGTGGTCGTGTTCCTTTATTTTCCTCATGTTTGTTTGTAGAGTATTTGTTACTTCAACACTTTTGGAATTATGAATATTTTTAGTTGGTTGGTTAGCAATTGTGGCTTTTGGGAAAGCTTAGTTTTACTTTGCCTTGGATCATTTTCTTCGATTCACTTATGCTCTCACTCAATCTGAGTTCTCACTATTTGGTTGAACGATAATGAATGTTTCTTCTACTAACATATTTTCCCTTGGAAGATCGTCTCAACAGCCAAGATTCCTTTAGGGTGGTAGATTTAGCAACTAGGAGAGATTTTCTAATTTGATGTGATTCTTTTACTATCTTGGAGCACTTTGCTCTTTTTGAGTTCCATTTGTATCAACTAGGCTTTTTGTTAGTTCTTTTATTTGCTATTTGTTTTCAGCATTATATTTTTTGATGCAGCTCTTTTTGCTATTATCATTACCTTTTGAGTTATTATCTTTTATACCTTTGGTGTTATACAAATATTATAATTAATTTTAATAATGAATACAATTAAATTCTACTCCTAATATTTAAATAATAATAATAATAATCAATTGAGAAGTCGCGATAATTTCAAAACCAAAAAAACCAAATAGCGTTCCCATTCTGACGAATTGATTAGTTGACCACTATTCAGTCGATCCCGAATCCCATCACCCAAGACCACAAGATCGTACAGCTCTGATTACGCCCAAGTCCGGAAGTCCCCGTCCCCCGAATCATAAAAACCATATTAGCTTCCCGGTGTTCTAGCGACTCACTGGACACGAACCAGACGAACGAACACAGAAAAAATACAGTATCAAGATCAGCAGAGAGGCCAGTCCCTCGCCGATCTCCTTGCTGAACTCCGAGATCTGTTCGGAGTTCTGGCCTCTATTCCACTTGAGATCCTTCTCGGCCGAGTTTTCGAAATCAGTGGAGCTTGGTTTTCTTGCAGGTATATGTCTCTTTTGTTTTTTGATTACTTTCTCAGATCCTCGCGCTAATAAGTTGGCACATAGTGGCAGAAACCCTAGTTGGAGGGTGTAAGAACTGAAGCATATCCAGATGATGTCCGAGTTTTGTATTTTAGATTCCTTTTTTATGACTGACTGGTTTATTTTTGTTCTGTGGGTAACTAGTAGTGATGACACATGGTTGTTTCTGTGCTCCGATAAGATGATTTTGCAATTAGTTGCTGCATTCCCGGTGCTTGAATTTTTTCGCCCATTTCTGTTTAGTTGATTTTAATGGCTTTGGGACCATGCTATATAGTCTTTGAATTTTTGCTGATTTACTGTCATAAGCATATGAGTTCATTCATCTACTATCACATTAACTTAATCTAATCACTCTTGCAATTTACGAATATGCAAATACTGATAATTTAGAGTTATGGGTAATCTTTTAGATGTTATAAAAAATAGCCCGAAGGGGGCTGTTTGGCAACTGGAGTTATACCCCATTTGAGCATGATTTAGGGTAAATCCTGCCAAATAGAATTTACGCCCCCATTGGAAGTTACGGTGAAATAAATCCTCTGTCTTTTCTTTTTTGCGGTAAATCCCGGATTTACGCTGCAATTCGACGGATTTAAGATTTCAGGGCGCCGGAGAGAGGGATATTAACTACAATGCTGACGTGGCTCAATCCACATAGCACTCACCTCAATGTACTTTCTTGTAGTTAGCGTTACTATACTTTCTTGCTATTTCCTCATTGCCTTTATCTATATATTATGCTCTGTACTCTATACATGGATGAATTAATATAGTAAAAAGCTTTTCCCTGGTTTCATTCTTCTCCCTTTCCCACACTTGTTCTTGCGTCTGTTCTATGTCGTGTATCTCTTTCTACATGGTATCAGAGACTTGATCCTACCCTCCCTTCTCGCTCCCCATGAATTCATCTGCAGCTATGTCATCAACCAACCAAATCGAAGCATCTCATCCCGCCGACTCCTTTACCTCATTGAAAATCCCATCCTCCCTCAAATTCTTGATGAGCAACATCAAGAACGTCATCGTTCATCCTCTCACAGTTGATAACTACCCTCTTTGACGATCTCAAGTTCTCAAATTATTCCACGCAAACGGCTTTGAAGGGTTCTTGGATGGATCAACCACCCGTCCGACCCAATCTATTCCCACTGAAGACAGCCGGCCTTCCACGGACTCTCTCTCCATCAATTTGACCCTGTTGGACCAAAATCTTGCTGTCGTGCTATACTCCGTCATTTCACCCGCAATCTTACCTTATGTTCTTTCAATTGATCACTGCGCCGACATCTAGACTACGCTAGATCGGTGGCTTCAATCCTCCACTTCAAGAATTATACAGCTCAAGAACGAGTTGCATTACTTATCTATGAAAGACAAATCCATGAACGCAATACCTTCTTGACGTCAAAGCGAAGGTGGACGCACTCGCCACCGCCGGAGCTCCAGTCGATATCGAAGATGCCATACATTATACATTGAATGGTCTGCCACCTCTCTACCAAGCATTCAAGACAACCATCCGAACAAACCTTCGCCCAGTTAGCCTGGACAAATTATACACATTATTATGCAGCAAATAACTCAATCTTGCGCATGAGATCACCAAAGAACTTCATTCGCTACAAATTTCTGGCAGCACAATAGCCCTTAAGGCGACTCACGGACGTGGTCGCGGTCAAACCTCCTTCTCTCGCGGTTGATCCAATGGTTGCTCATCAAACAACTCCAACACTTATCGTGGCGACAAATCCCAACGACCCTTGGTCACCTGCGAAATCTGCAGCAAGAATGGCCATTTGGCCTTCAAATGCTGGCATCGGCATGATGACCTTTACAACACAGACCCACCGTCCGCACTCTTTACCTCCCTGACATCACCCACCACGACGGATTGGTTTCTAGACAGCGGCGCATCCACGCACCTCACGTCTGACCCAAGTCAATTGCAAAATCCTCAACTCTACAACGGCTCAAGTTAAGTCATTCTTGGTAATGGTCATCAATTACCAATTCACACTACCGTTAAAGGAATTCTACCTACACCAACAGGTAACCTTAAATTGACTAATCTCAATCTTGTTCCAAATCTTTCTTTCAATCTCTTATCTGTTTATAAATTAGCAACATATAATAACTGTCTAATCACTTTTTCATCTTATGGTTATCAAATAAAGGACAAGACGACCAACCGCCTTCTTCTCAAAGGTTCGTGTATTAACGGACTCTACCCGCTTCATAACAGTCTTCCCAAAGATTCCACAACATCTCAGTTAGCTCTCCTCTTCGTCCAAGCTGTCCAAGACTTATGGCACCATCGGCTCGGACATCTGTCCTCTCACACTCTTTCTATCATCGCTATACATCAGCCAAACATTTATATCCCCACTAAATCCCACATGTGTAACACTTGTAAAATGGCAAAAAGTCATTGCTTACAATTTTTTAGTTCTCAAAGTGTAACTACTTCTTCATTTTCTTGAGTCCATTCTGACGTTTGGGGCCCTTCCCCAATTATCTCTACTCAAGGCTATCAGTATTTCGCTCTATTCATTTTCGATTATTCAAAATACACTTGGGTGTACCCTCATGTTCAGAAATCTGATGTGCCGAATAAGTTTCTTGAATTTCAAAGAATGGTTGAATGATAATTTCCATAAAAAATTCTTAAACTTCGTACAGATGGGGTGGGGAATTTATTAATAACAAATTCAAAACTCTCCTCCAACATAGTGGCATTATTCACCAATTCACCTGCCCCTACTCACCCTCTCAAAACAGAGTGGCGGAACACAAACATCGTCACTTAATCGAAACAACTCGATCTCTTCTCCTAGAAGCTTCTCTCCCACAACACTTATGGGTCGATACTCTCTTGACAACCGCCCACCTTATCAATTGTCTACCCTCCCACAACACCACCAACAAATCTCCCTACGAGCTTCTTCATCAAAATCAACCAAATTATATCCATCTTCGGGTATTTGGATGTCTTTTCTATCCATGACTAAAACCATACTCCCAAAACAAACTGTACCCTCTTTCAATTCCTTGTGTCTTTATCAGGTATGCCTCCTCCCAAAAAGGATACAAGTGCCTGGATCCAAACTCAAACAAAATATACACATCTCGCCACATCATCTTCAACGAGGCTATCTTCCCTTACTCCAACCAATCTACCCACCAATCGAACTCACCATCCAAACATCTCACAACTCCACCCTTACTTCTTGTTCCCACATCCAAACTTCCCTCATTCACGGGCACAATCACATATCTTACCCACAAATCCCACCTACATCAACTACTATCAATCCTCTCCAAATCCCCACTCCACCAACACTCAGTTCAACTTCTTCCATCGCTCACACCACGATCTTTAATTCGGATTAACAGCATCACCAAGAAATTCATGCATCCGAAGCAGTTCGGCCATCCTCTTCACACCACATTATTATTAGATTCAAAATCAGTTCTCTCAAACCCAAACAAATATTTGATCTAGCTCATATCCTTCAACCTACCGAACCAACCACATACAATCAGGCTGCCAAGTTTAAACAATGGCGCACAGCCATGCCCCAAGAATTCCAAGCCCGTCAAGCTTAAGAAACCTGGGATTTAGTTCCTCCTGCACCAAATCAGAATGTTTTGGGATGTAAATGGACTTTCCACACCAAATTCAACTCTGATGGCTCGTTCGCTCGTTACAAAGCTCGGCTGGTTGCCAAAGAATTCAACCAAGAACATGGCCTAGACTATCGAAAACCTTCAATCCCGTAGACAAAATGCCAACAATTCGCGTACTTATTCTCATCGCATTACAACACAACTGGCCAATACATCAGCTCGACGTCTCAAACGCATTCCTCCACGGCAACCTCTCAGATACGGTCTACATGCATCATCCTCCGGGATTCCACGATTCTTTTCATCCTACCTATGTTTGCAAACTAAATAAAGCCTTGTACGGTCTCAAACAATCACCCTGAGAGTGATACACCACTCTCTCTAATCACTTGCAAAGCTTCGGCTTTCACATCAGCTTTTCTGATCACTCCCTTCTCACATACAAATCTGGAACATTACGTATCTATACCCTAATCTATGTAGGCAACATTCTCTTAACCAGGAACTCTACCACTGAAATCAATAGACTCCTATCAAATCTACACGACAAATTTCGTCTATGCAATCTTGGGTCATTATCCCAATTCCTTGGTATCCAAGCCGTTCCTATGTCCTATGGCATACTCCTCCACTAACAATCCTACGCACGAAGCATGATTGAGCACGGGAATGCAGAACTCCAAACCTGTCTCAACACCCATCTCATGAGAAACAGTCACTACCGATAAATCACATGAACCATTCTCCAATTCCCAATTGTATCGTCACTTAATTGTATCCCTTTAATATTTAACTCTCACTCGCCCGGACATCCAATTCGCAGTCCATCTATTATGTCAACATATGCACAATCCTCTCAACACTCATTACGACGCTTTCAAATGTCTTCTTTGTTACATTCAAGGATCAACCAACACAGGTCTACCTTTACGCAAGGACAACCTCACTCTCCGTGGCTATATAGATGCGGGCTGGGCCAGCAACAGCCAAGACAGGAAGTCCATATCTGGCTACTGTAATTTTTTAGGTAACTCTCTTATTTCATGGCAGGTCAAGAAACTAAACAGGTTGCCCGGTCACCCACAGAGGCTGAATATCGAGCCTTAGCCGCTGGCGCTGAGGCATCCAAAGTCATCTGGCTACGATGACTTATTGAAGACTTTCATATACCTCAGATCAACCCAACTACATTTTATTGCGACAAGACATCTGCAATCGCACTATCCAACAAACATGTATTCCACGCTCTCACAAAGCATATTGAGGTTGATTGTCACTTCATCAGGGACTGCATTCGGAACAAGCATCTAGCCGTCCACCATATCTACGCTACAGACAAGCTTACAGATTTATTTACCAGGGGGCTGTTAACTACAATGCTGATGTGGCTCAATCCACGTAGCACTCACCTCTATGTACTTTCTTGTAGTTACCGTTATTGTACTTTATTGCTATTTCCTCATTGCCTTTATCTATATATTAGGCTCTATACTTTGTAAATGGATGAATTAATATAGTAAAAAGCTTTTCGCTGGTTTCATTCTTCTCCCTTTCCTGCACTTGTTCTTGCGTTTGTTCTGTGTCGTGTATCTCTTTCTACAGGGGAGAGCGGACCGCGGAACCTGGCTTCCAGCATCAAGTTACAAATAACTCCCTTAAATCCGATTACATTGCTGAACAGCTCAAGAGGATTTAATAGAATTTAATCTTACGTTACCAAATAGTTTTCTGGATTTAACTTTAGCTAGCAGGATTTATTAAATCCGGATTTATAGGATTTAGTAAATTCTATTCAAGTTAAATCCTACTTGTTGCCAAACAGCCCCAAAAATTCACCATATATGGGAAAGCAAGCCTTCCACCACAATCTTCTCTACTGCCATGGACGTTTTGAAATTCTTTATGGACTGATATAGTATCTTTGTTCCTTTTAGCAGCTCATTGTAGCATATTGAAGGATAAATGTGTTATTTCATGGTTTGAAGGCTTCAGGAGACTCAGTTTTCTTATGCATTTTAGGTTAGAACAGATTTATATGAGCTGTGGTAATGCTATTCGCAGTGGAAGGAGGAGGTTTCTTTTCCTCTTCAGCATCAGGATACAGTAGTGGTCTTGCCCTTCTGCTTCTTAGGCACAAAAATGAAGAAAGAAACATGAGAATTTCTCCTTGGAATCAATACCAATTGGTTCATCAAGATGTGGGTCATGATGTAAAGCTCGCCTCTTCAAAAAACGAAGCCCCGCAAGGATGCTCTTCCTTCTCATGTTTTGGGTGTGGATCTTCCTGTGATGATGGATCATTGCATCCTGAATCGGGTCCTTCTCACAATTCTGAAACTTCGACGGAAAATCCTTCAGATAGAATGAAGGTCACAGTCAGTGTCTCGTCTGATGAGAATGAAAGGAAGATATGGCTTAAGAGTAGTCTTAAGAAACCATCGACAAATTGCTGTGTTTTGCTTAGTGATGGTGATGCTGCACGCAACTCCATGGAAGAGGTTCAGAGCAACGTATCATGTTTTACTGGAAGGAGAAAAGTTCAATGGTCAGATACATGTGGCAAAGAACTTACCGAGATAAGAGAATTTGAGCTAAGGTACTTCATTACTTTTTATTAATATGTCTATCGCAAACCTTGTTGAGCCTAACTCCCAAATACGATGGAAAAATATCACAATTAAGTTATATATATTAATTACAACTTAAAAATCAATTAATTAGTTTGATGCGAGCCTCCAATATCCTAACTATCCCATATCCAAAAACTTCCAGTATTGCAAATCGTTGACTTGAAAGGTACAGCAGCCTTTGATTAACTTTCCATTTATCCCCACATTTGTGTTGTAAATTCAAATTATTTGTGGCCCATTTCTTTGGCTGAAATAACTTTTTTTTTTTGAGTTAGTCAAATACTTCCATAGAAAAAAAAAAAAAAAAAGATGTGTCATGTGTTTGGTCATAAACATTTGAGTGATGTGCAAATAAGGTAATGTGTTCTGTTAGTTGTTTTGCTTTTATTTATTTATTTATTTGTTTTTCCATTAAGTTGGAATATGGATTCTTTATGCCCATCAAACATCTTAAGACTGCTATTTCTACTATAATGTCCTTATCTTTATTCCGCTTTATACTTTAAATAATAATAATAAGCTTTTATCCTAGGATGTGTGTATTAATTATCTTCAATTACACTGAATGTTTGCTTGCCACTTCTGTCCATCAATACTGGTATTTAATGTTAGTTGTGTTGATAAACGCTAAATTTATCTCATTTTGCAGTGATGATGGTGTTTCAGAGGACGATTTAGAGCACAAGCAGGCCAGAAGATGCGAGTGCGTAATTCAGTAGGGTGTGTCTTCCACTTTTTTGAGATTTGTGATTGCAATATAAGGATGGCAAGAAAACTTTTTTTTTTCTCTCTTTTTCCTTTTTCTCTCTAACCTTTTCTTTTTTGTTTCTGCTATTGGTCTTAGTCGCAGCATTAACTCAAATCCTTGTTTATCAACCAACCTTAAGGATTTCAATTTTGTTCAACCACTGGCTGCTTAAGTTTTCTTTGTCTTTTTGTTGCAGCTGCTTTTGTCAAAGGTTTATTGTATATGATTTCATTTTATCATTTTCCTTGTCACCAACATTTTATGAGTGTCATTCAAATGGTTGCTTCGTGGAGTTTTAAGATATAAAATTTGGAAATTAAAAATGGGTCCAATTGTTGATCAAACTTTGATGATAATGTTTTAATACTTCGGAATTTAAAGGTAGTCAAATTCTGGTAAGGATATCCTCACAGTTAAATATCCAATGACATGAATAACTTAAAAACAGTATCGGAAATTAAATAATCCATGACTTTGCTAATAAAAAATATAAAAGGATTCTTGCTCAATTCTCTAATTTGAATTGGCTTAGGAATGGATGCTTTAGTTCTTTTTCGATCATTTCGGATTTGGGACAAATATTTTATTCTGTTGCAAACTTGCAAAGCCCAAATTGAGAAACGCAAGCAAGACAGGATAATTCACCAGAAATCCCCACAGGAACACCTTCCATCTTCAAAGTGATGGAATCTATTATAATCCCTTAGAATTATTTGCCGTCCAACAATCTTAGAAATGTAGCAAAAAGCCAAGTGGCAATCCCCACAAACTCTAAGGTTTTTCATGATCCTTATGGGTATCCCTAAAGATCTGGTCAGGATGAATGCAAGTGCAAGCTTCTCGCTATGGTAACTGAGCAGTTCTTCCTTGCTCTCTGCTTCAAGGTCGTACCAAGCAAGCTCAGTTTGAGGAACATAGCCTATTTCCTTCATCTTCTGTTTTAGAAAATTTAGCTTTTCATGTATCTTCTTCATATCCGGGTGCGAGCTATCTCCAGATTGAAAGACATGGACGCCATCCCTAAGAGTGACCCAGCTACAACCAGCTTCTTTCTTCATTTGTGCACCCCTCAAAGAAACCCTAGCCCTTGCTACGCCTTCCCATCTCCCTTTAGAAGCATAAAGATTAGAAATAAGTACATAATTCACTGGATTATGAGGTTCTAGTTCAATAAGCATTTCTGACGCTTGCTTGAACAAGTTTGTCTTCTCTCCTCTTTTCGATCTGCAACAAGCCCCCAGCACTGTCCTCCATATGAGACTGTTAGGGACAATTTTCATTCCTTTCAAAAAGTCTTCCATCTTGTCAATCTCACCTGCTCGACCCAAAAGATCCACTACACATGAATAATGCTCGATCCGAGGAATCAAATTGTATTCCTTGCTCATAGATTCAAAAGAATCTAGCCCTTCTTTCACTAAACCAGCATGGCTGCAGGCAGAGAGGACTCCAACAAAGGTGACATGATCAGGCTGAAGGTTACTATCTTGCATCATTCTGAACAGCTCTAAAGCCTTGGCGCCTTGCCCATGGCGAGCATAACCTGAGATCATAGCATTCCAGGTGTACTCATTTTTCAGAGGCATGAAGTTGAAGACCTTTGAAGCATAGTCTATTCTTCCACATTTGGAGTACATGTCAACAAGCGCGCTCTCAACTACAAGATCAGATTCCAGTTGAGTCCTAATTCCAAAAGCATGAATCTCCATACCTCTTTCCAATGCTGCCACAGAGGAACATGCACTTAGAACAGTGGTGAAGGTAAAACAATCCATTTTCTGGTCATTACGTATCATAAGCCAAACAAGGTCCATGGCCTTCGATAGGAGTCCATTGTGAACATAACCAGACACCATAGAATTCCACGAAACATCATCTTTCCTGTAAGACATTCGGGCAAAGAGATTTTCACTAGATTCCATGTCCCCTGACGTAGCATAGAGGGACAAAAGTGCGTTTTCCACAGCAGTTTCCTCAGACATTCCACTCTTCTCAGAGAGACTGTGTACCTGCTTCCCAAATTCAAGAGCGGAAAATGGAGTTAAAGCTGCGAAAAGGTTAACAAATGTCACTCTATTTGGCTTCCATCCGCTTTGCATCATATCTGAGAAAAGTGCTTGTGATTCCTCCAAGGGTGCCTCAGAACTGGCTAATACTCCGAGCATAGAATTCCATGAAATTTGATCATAATCGGACATTGACATGAAGATTTTCCGACATTCTGGCATGCTTGCACATTCTCCATACATTGCTATGAGCGAATTTGATACAGAAATATCTGTATCAAGCCCTACTTTGGATGCAACACAATGCACTTGTGTACCCATTCCTAAAAATCTCAAGCTTGTGCAAGAACTTAGTGAACTAATTATGGTATAAATTGAAGGTACAACACCGCTTTCCATCATATCAGAAAAACATTTTAATCCCTCCACAGAACGTCCATTCTGATCAAGAGCAGCGATAATAGAATTCCAAGACACCTGATCTTGAGTGTTCATGCATTTAAAAACCATGAGAGCTTTGTTTACAGCACCGCATTTAGAATACATGTTAATAAGCCCATTGTGCATAGCAATCTTGCAATCAATAAGACCACTTCTAATTACAAGACCATGAATCTCACGCCCTTTTCTCCTCCCTTCATCCAAGCTCTCAAATTCGGTCAATGCACTTAAAAGAACCACATGAGAATCACAGTTTTTCATAACCAGATCACCTGCCTCTATGAAAACTTCCATTGCCTCTTCTCCGCGATTTTGCTTGATCAATCCAATCATCAAACCATTAACAGTAACTGAATTCCTATCACTCAGCTCCAAGAAGACTTTGCTAGCAATATCAAACAGGCCATATCTTGAAAATGCACTAACCATAGCGCTGCCAACATAAAGGTCACTCAAAAATCCAGACTTGGTAACTCTTGCGAGTATCTGTTCAATTAAACATGAGCTAGAACACATTATACCGAATGGAGAGCAAGCATAACTCACTGCTATCAAACTTCCAAGTGTATACTCATTCGGCTTTAAGCCAGAATAACTCACTTCTCCCTGCATCCTTGAGAAGTAGTAAAAAGCAGAAGCAGCATCTCCTCTCTGAGAATGCACAGAGATGATTGAATTCCATGAAATAGTATTTTTGACTGGTGTGCCATTAAACACTTCATCAGCATATCTTGCTGGTTCAAGAAAGAAGCTTCCGTACATCGATATCAATGAATTACACACCACAGTGTCAAGGGAATACTTGCTTTTCATAACCATTGCATGTATCTGTGTGCCAAGACTTGACATATGAGGGCCCAAGTCCTGACATGCTCGAAAAATGCTACCAAAAGTAAATTGTGTTGGCTCTAACCCAGTTGAGAACATCAATTTGAACAGTCGGCAGGCTTTCTCAGGCAATGCCTGCTGGGTATACCCAGCGATCAAGCAAGTCCAGGAAACGTTGTTCCTTTCAGGCATTTCGTCAAAAACCTGTTGTGCACACTCCAAAGAGCCAGTCTTGGCATATAGATTGACCAGACTGTTCGATAAGAATAAATCTTTGGGAATTTTCTTGATAAGTAGCAGGTGGAGACTTTGGGCATCACTGCTGTTGCAAGAGCCAAGGTAGCTGTGGCCGATATCATTGCAGAAGTGGCCGGGCTCTTGTAGGATTTTTGGATTGTTGTTTGCGAATCTACTGATTTGTTTGAGCGGAGTTGATGAAGAAAGATAAAAATTTGGATGTTTGGGGTTTCTAAGAGACTTCGGAGGTAGCAGATGAGAATAATGGTAAGAATTTGAAGAGATCTGTGGTTGGAGATTCAAAAGCGATAGGAAACCGAATTGGCGGTTCATGGCGGCCAAAGAAGTTGACAACGCGAATTCATAATTGATGCGCCGATTTTGGCGGGCAACGATTGAGTGATCGCCTCTAATTACCTTGTTGCTGCACAAATTCCATGTTGATGTGATGTTATCTGTTAAAAAAAATTTGAACTCTTATAAGAGATGCATAATTTTAAAGTGTAGAAGGGATGAGAGAGAGAGGCTTTAACTGCATCTTAAATGAATTGTCCTAAATGTTTAATCAAATCTTTTTTTTTTTTACATTTAGACTAATCAAAGCAAACTCATACACACCGCATACATATGACTAGAACTCAATACCTCTTAGTTGGTAGCCTAACCTTCCAACAAAAAGATCGAGGTGAACTGATAGAGCAGGATGAGTTGAGTCAAGCTATTATGACAATTGTGTGTGAGAGAGAAAAATATCACGAGGAAAATCTTAGAAAGATTCCAAGAATAACTTTAGTAATATGGAGTTTCAACATCTAGTTTAAGATTATATAATGCATATTCTCAACCAATCATTCCTTATTTATAGGTGAGAATCAAAATGAGTGTAATGAAGTGGCTACATAGTGTGATTTCATAGAAAATACTTGATTTAGATATGATAAAGGCTATGATTTTAGTTAGCAGTTTATTGCTAGTCGAGAACTTTGAGTGAGTTAGTGAGTATTCTTGAATTATTCTGGCAAGAGAACCCCTTATAACTATTTTGTAAAAGCTTACTTAGGTGTAGAACTTAAGAAGTAACATTTTTTGTTACTCTTTATTTGAATGTTTCAATGAACTGTGCGCCATCTTAAAATAACTAATGCCCACACAGACTAGGTGAGTATTTATGAGTTAATATGAGAGAATCCATCCTCTTAAGCACAACATTTACCCACTAGAATATAAGATGAAAGAGGCATATCATGATTAACACGAAGAAAACTTCATTTGATATGCTCTTTAAAAAACTATTCTAACAAAAGTAATTAATTTTCACATAAGTAATATGGTCAAGTAGTTGAGTTCCTTGGGAAAACAAATTTGGCAAATGGACAATTTAACGAGTTATTGAGTGGGTTTAATAGGTCAGAACTGAGCATCAAATTTGTGTTGATTCATAGGTAACATTAACCTTAGTGAAAAATAAATTACATGTGGTTCATAACCATTTATTTATTGAGCCCAAGTTAGGGTTTCATGATGAATTCATCTAACCCGACAAAATATTAGTATAAATTAGATTCTCAATTCTCTTATCTCTTTTGAAAACCCCATTAGAGTATGATAATAAATGTTAATTCAAACCCAATTCGACATGTGCGGCTTGGATTTAGTTAAGAGCATTGGCTCTTAAAAGTGCATAGATCTTCAACATATTTTTGATACATTACAGGAATGCCATCAAATGTGAGGTTTGTAGTTCATTTTTGGTGTCTTACTACTTATACTTCAACCGAAATTCTTATCCAGAGATTGCTTGTGTTCTTTTCCTTTGCAATCATGTAGAAATTTGAAAAGCTTTTTAGCTTTGGTGTTGTTGATGAGCTTAGAAGGAAATGCAAGTAGGCTACAAAATTAGAGCTTAACAATCTACAAAGGGGTTTTATTTAACTTATATGCAGTGGCGGAGCCAAATATTTTATTGGGGGGAGGGGGCTAAATTAAAATAGTTTTGTATGCCATCTCATCTCTAATGTTAGAATACATTAAAAAAGTTTTGTTTGCGTCTCATTACCAGAGCCAAGAGGGGTTGTAAGATCAAAATTAAGAATGCAAATAAGATTGCTTAGAGCTTAGAAGACATAAATATCTTCCACATGCATTCTTCGTTAAGGAGCAAGAGAGGAGCGAAAGGGAAAACAAAAGCCTTGCTCTAGGTCATGAGTCACGAGTCATGAAAGAGGACGAAAGGGTAAAATGAAGTATTCTGTTTGGGTCGAGGGAAAGCAAGTTGTTTAGGGGCGGTCTCCATTTGGGCCTGCGCACGAGGAAGAGAAATTCACTCGAGGTTGCATACACATCAAATTTGAAAATTTTTAATACAACATTATTAAATTAATTATCAAATTTGAAAATCATTAACAATAAATTCAATATGCATGTGCAAAAGATTGACATATATTAAGTTATATGTTTATTGTGTCCTGGAATATTCGCAATGATAGTGAAATATTTGTTTAACGTCTTAGCTTTGTTTGAAGATCCAGCACACAATCAGATAAATAGAGGGTACAACATTAATAAGAGATGCCAGAGTTTTTACATTGAAACCTTTAAAAAGGGGGAAAAATCATAGGGTCTATCCCAATTTGAAATGATCCACTAGTATTTATAGTTAATTGCAAATGAGGCCCTACCTTGAGGGAAGGCTTTGGCTTAATGTAAAAAATATACATCATATGGAGTGCATTACATGGTGGGAATATGAAGAATCACTATTGACGCGTTCATTTTGTCGGAAAGGATCATAATTGGTGGGCGATTGAGGTTGGAAAGACCATTATCTGGTGAAGGACGTTAGAAGGACCAAAGTCAGTAGGGTGATGGAGGTCGAAAGGACCTTAGTTGGTGGGCAATGGAGGTCAGAAAGATGGTTGTCTGGCGATGGAGGTCAGAAGGATCGTAATCGGCGGGTGATGGAGGTCGGAAGGACGTTGTCTAGAGACGAAGGTCATAAGGACTGTAGTCAGAGGGCGATGGAGGTTGGAAGGACCATTGTTTGGCAACGAAGGTCTGAAAGATTATAAACACCAGGAGACAGAGGTCGGAAGGATCGTAGTTAGCATGCTATGGATGTAGGAAGGACCGTAGTCAGTGGGCGACATAGGTTAGAAGGACCGTAATTAGCTGGCGATAGAGGTCAAAAAGATTGTTGTCTAGCGATGGAGGTTATAAGGACCATAGTCGGCAGGTGATGGAGGTCGGAAGGATAGTTTTCTGGCAATGAAGGTTAAAATGATCGTAGTCGTCAGGCGATGGAGGTCAGAAGGACCATAGTTGATGAGCGATAATGGTCGAAAGAACTTTAGTCGGCGGATGATAGAGGTCAAAAGGATTGTAGTCGGTGAGTTATAGAGGTAAAAAAAATTGTTGTCATCAGGCAACGAAGGTCGAAAAGGCAGTTGTCTGGTGATAAATGTCGAAAGGATCATAGTCAGCGAAGGAGGTTAGAAGGACTGTAGTCGTGTGGTGACGAATGTCAGAAATACGGTTGTCTAGCGACAAAGGTCAGAAGGACCATAATCGGTGAAGGAAGATAGAAGGACCATAGTCGGCTAGCGATGGAGGTCAAAAAGACCATTGTCTGGTGATGGAGGTTAGAAGTGAAAGTTCGTTAGGGATGTTAAGCCCGATTA